TATAGATTTAAAACGGGACATTTTGAAATCCCGATGTGAATTCACACGGTTCCAGAAATCCCACCGGGGCGGGATTTGTCTTTGCTTATGCAAGATGATCGACTTTTATTTTATGACGAAACTTTTGTAACGCCGATGAGGGGATCGACGCTCGCCGCGCGGTGTCTGAAATACTCGGGCTGAACAGGACCCCAAGCGAAACGTCTGTGAATTTTGCTATGTTCCGGGTTGCTTATTTGTTTGCTCGATGTCGTTCTCGCGCGCGGTTTCTTTGGCGTTGCTGGACGCTCTTCGCGATGCCGCAGCGCATGGTCGGGCCCCGACTCGCCTGGGCCCCGCCGCGGAGTCCGTGGGCCCTGGCCCCAGAATCAAAGGAGATCTGCGCCCTTGAGTCGAGGGCTCTGGACGCGGGGTCCGCGGGGCCCCAAGTACACAGGCCACCCGCGCGCGCTGGGCTTGCCCCCCGAGATGCCACCGGACGAGGCCACCGAAAGCTGCCCCGAAAGATGGCAGTTTCACATCGGCCGAATTATTAGCGAAAGTTGGGTGAATTATCTTCGGTCTTGTTTTTAACAGTGCGGAGCACCATCCGAGGCGTCGACGGGCAAGATTCGGAGCCCTTACGCGGCGCGATTCGGAGCCCCATTCGGGACGTCGATGGGCAAGATTCGGAGCAGGAACGCGGCCGCCGCAGGCAAGATTCGGAGGTGGGATTCGGCTACATGAGGTGCGATCAGCGCCGCCCTCAGCAGCCTCTCAGAAGCATCGGAGGAGCCCCTTGGGAGCTTCTCCGGAGCCTCTCAGGATCATCTCAGACTCTTCGCGCTCGCGCCCGCGCAAAGGCGGGCTCAATGCCCCCCCGGCGCTGCGTCGTGAAATGGAGCGTGCGATTTGCATCTTTCAGATTTGAAGAGGAAGCCGCATTCACATGCCATCTTGGGGGGGCAGTTCAGCCCGAGAAATACCGCTAGGGGATCGACGCTCGCCGCGCGGTGTCTGAAATACCGCTGAGGGGATCGACGCTCGCCGCGCGGTGTCTGAAATACCGCTAGGGGATCGACGCTCGCCGCGCGGTGTCTGAAATACCGCTGAGGGGATCGACGCTCGCCGCGCGGTGTCTGAAATACCGCTAGGGGATCGAGCTCGACGCTCGCGCGCGGTGTCTGAAATACCGCTAGGGGATCGACGCTCGCCGCGCGGTGTCTGAAATACCGCTGAGGGGATCGACGCTCGCCGCGCGGTGTCTGAAATACCGCTAGGGGATCGACGCTCGCCGCGCGGTGTCTGAAATACCGCTGAGGGGATCGACGCTCGCCGCGCGGTGTCTGAAATACCGCTAGGGGATCGACGCTCGCCGCGCGGTGTCTGAAATACCGCTGAGGGGATCGACGCTCGCCGCGCGGTGTCTGAAATACCGCTAGGGGATCGACGCTCGCCGCGCGGTGTCTGAAATACCGCTACGCCGCTACAAAAGTTCGTCACGTTTCATGAGAGCTTGAAGGTGGCAACTGCCCTGGCCGCGCCGAGCTGGCCCCCCCTTCCCCCTTAGAATCCTAGCGGACTGAGTCAAGAGCGGTCGGATCAAAGATCCGGGATTTCTAAAAGTGGGATTTCATCCCTTACTATAATAGTATAGATTTAAAACGGGACATTTTGAAATCCCGATGTGAATTCACACGGTTCCAGAAATCCCACCGGGGCGGGATTTGTCTTTGCTTATGCAAGATGATCGACTTTTATTTTATGACGAAACTTTTGCAACGCCGATGAGGGGATCGACGCTCGCCGCGCGGTGTCTGAAATACTCGGGCTGAACAGGACCCCAAGCGAAACGTCTGTGAATTTTGCTATGTTCCGGGTTGCTTATTTGTTTGCTCGATGTCGTTCTCGCGCGCGGTTTCTTTGGCGTTGCTGGACGCTCTTCGCGATGCCGCAGCACATGGTCGGGCCCCGACTCGCCTGGGCCCCGCCGCGGAGTCCGTGGGCCCTGGCCCCAGAATCAAAGGAGATCTGCGCCCTTGAGTCGAGGGCTCTGGACGCGGGGTCCGCGGGGCCCCAAGTACACAGGCCACCCGCGCGCGCTGGGCTTGCCCCCCGAGATGCCACCGGACGAGGCCACCGAAAGCTGCCCCGAAAGATGGCAGTTTCACATCGGCCGAATTATTAGCGAAAGTTGGGTGAATTATCTTCGGTCTTGTTTTTAACAGTGCGGAGCACCATCCGAGGCGTCGACGGGCAAGATTCGGAGCCCTTACGCGGCGCGATTCGGAGCCCCATTCGGGGCGTCGATGGGCAAGATTCGGAGCAGGAGCGCGGCCGCCGCA